AAAAGATGGAAATATAAATATAAAAGCTAATTTATTACCATTTATTACTGCTGTGTTGTATGTTTGATGTGATGCTGGTCCATGTCATGTAATACATGTTTGCATATGAATTTTGCTCGGCCACAGGGTGAAGATCAGCTTACAGGAGATCATTCAGTCTCAGCTGACTGACGAAGTGAGTGATTCATCACTAATATCTTTCCTCATTCTCTTCAATGTTCTAATTTTGAGCAATTTAGGCATATTTCGTTTTGCAAATGTCATTGTGTTTTCTTTCTCTGTGTCAGTGGTTTTCTCTGAATGACGTTAAACATGGCCGGGTTCACATGATTCTGGAGTGGCTGCCCACAGTCACACAACCTGACAGACTACAACAGGTCATTATTAAATCTGACATATATTATATTATATTATATTATATTATATTATGCAAACTTATGAATGATTTATGTTTTTGAGTTTTAAAAGTAGTTTGGTCTGTATGAAATCCATCTAGATGATAAGAGTAAAGTGTTTTATTTGGTGATTTAATTTTTTTAATTAAATTATGTAATTTAAAAAATATTGATTTTTATATATTTATATCATTTCATTTGCTAGTTTTGTAGTTTGCTTTTTTCAGTTTTACTTGTCAAGTGAGACTCATGCTGTATACACTGTGTCAAGATTATAGCTTACCTTTCAGTAAAAATAATGAATGCATTAGCCAGTTTGTATTAATGAATAATAAATTTAATTACTCATTTTGCATGTAAGATCAGGATAAATTGTTAGATTTTGATGTCATGATTTTAAAACTATTATTTTAATGCATTTATTATTTATTTCTTAGTATGTTTAATGTGAATGTATTTTCTACAGTTTATTTTGGTGTTAGAATCTCTTTTCTTGGTTTCTTCACGTCAGGCTCTGCAGTTACAGTCAGAGCATTCATACCAGAACAAATCTGTGCCGTCAGCTGCTCTGTTCTTCATTCTCTTGGAGAGAGCTCACGACCTGCCGGTGCGTCTCTTATATGCATCATTCAATT